TCCTAGCTCTTCTTTCTTGGTGATTCTGAGGTCGCCCCTATGGTCTGGGAATGGTCTGGGATTGGCTCCCCTTTAAGCCTCGTGGTATGGCAAAACTAATCCCCTTGTTAGGGTTGTATAAACCTTATTTGCAGGTCCTATCCCCCATAAAAGGAGCTCTGGTGGTGTAGTGGTTAAAGCACTTGGCTGCTAAGCAAAAGGCTGATGTTTGAAACTACCAGCTGCTCTGCAGAAGAAAGACAAGGCAGCCTGCTTCCATAAGATTTATAGCCTTGGAAAGCCAAAGGGGGTCACTATGAGTCAGAATCGACTTGATGGCAGTGAGTTTGGTTTTTGAGGTCACCCATAAGTGTGCCATGTACCTTATTTGTATTATCAGCAAGCTGTCCAATCTTGTTGATAGGCTACAAGCACTGCATTTATGCAGTCCCACCCAGTCATTTGGTGGGGAGTTACAAGAAAGGCCATAAAAAGGAATCCACATTGCACTCTTGGAGAGAGCAGGCATAGGAGAATAGAGGGGCTATGCGTGAGCAGGGAAATAGCTGGGGGGGGGGGGTGCGACAGGAGTGCATGGAGGGAGGGACGCAGGAGGAGGCTGTGGGGAGGAAGTGGGAAGGGAGCTATTTCATTGTGGTAGATTGTAGTCAAAGTCATGAGACAGGGTGTGTGTGAACTGTTGTATGGAAGATGAATTTGCTCTGTGAACTTCCACCCAAATCACAATTAAAAAAAAAAAAAAAAGGAATCCACTGCACATTGCACTGTACCTTTAAAACCAAAACTAAAAACAAAAACTATTGTTATTGAGTCGATTCCAACTCATAGCGGCCCCATAAGACAGAGTAGAATTGCCTCACAGGGTTTCCAAGGCTGTAATTGTTTTGGAAACAAACTGCCACATCTTTTTGCTGTGGCAGTGTTGATGAGTTCGAACTGCAGATCTTAGTTAGCAGCCAAGAGCTTAACTACTTTGCCACCATGCCTCCTGAAGTTTCCTTTAAACTACAAAAATTTAAGATTAATACATGCACTAAATAAGGGGAAAAGTGGGCAAATCTCATCTTTGTAGCCAGTTGTGTGGTAAGGATCAGCCTGAATCCAATTCCCAAAATGTGGAGAATGATCTAGTCCTCACCCTCCCACTTTTCCATCCTCATCACCAGATACCCAAGTGGCACTCTCCAACTCTCATCACTTGGAGTTGGATCACAGCTCACAAGTTAGATAGATACCACCATTCAGAACAGCAGCTTACATAGCCCTTTTCTGACCCTAGTCTCCTGGAGCTAGATCAGAGTTCATAAATTAAAAGGATATAGTCCTTCAGACTGCCAATTAGGCACATGCCAGCCTCAAGTTTATGGAGACTACATGATACCCTAACCTTCTGCCCTGCTAGCAACAGATTCAGGACTTGTTTCCCACCACCCCTAGGATTCTAGCTATAATAAGCTTGGGAATTTACATGACATCCTTACACGAGTTGGCTCTTACTACCCCTTTGGGTTTGACAATTAGCTGGAATGAGTCACAGAATGTAATGAAGAATATACCATACTTCTTGTTGTGTGCTGTCCAGTCAATTCCTGCCCATAGTGACCCCATATGACAGAGTAGAACTGCCCTGTAGACTTTCCTAGGCTGTAATTGCTATGGGAGCAGATTGCCAGGTCTTTTCTCCTGCAGAACTCCTGGTGGGTTTGAACCACTGACCTTTCAGTTAGCAGCCAAGTACTTAACCACTGTACCACCAGAGCCCTTTATACCACACATACAACTACAGATTTATTATACTCAAATGAAGAGACACAAGGACAAGGTCTGGGTGGGGTCACAGCATAAAGCTTCCATGTCCCTAGAAAGCATGCTACCCTCTCAAGTACAAATGTTTCCACCAACCAGGAAGCTCCTTTGAGCCTTAGGGTTCTAGGCTCTTATCAGCTTCCTCATGTGGCCATGATATATTATATCATGCCTCCTAAGGCTAGTCAACATCAGGCTCCCAAGTGGTTCCCATTGGTCTAGTCATCTCCCATTCATTAGCCTCATGATATCCTGCTCTATTGTGGTCTAGCTCTCAGGAAACCAGAACAAAGGCCAAATTGCTTTCTGCAGTACACAGTACTTCATATGCGTACCATGAGTATTAAATAAGAAAATATATGTGACTGATTCTTGCCATCACAAGCACTTGACTGTACTTTTCTAGCATTTGGCAGGGTAGATTACTTGAAAATCCTTTCTCTATAAAAAATCTAGAAATATTTTATAAAATATAACAAATATTCTTTAAAATACATAGCTGAGCCTATATGACCATGAGACCAGAAGAACTAGATGGTGCCTGGCTACCACTGTCAACCACTTGGAAAGGGATCGGCACAGGAGATCCTGGATAGAGAAGGAGAACAATGTAGAACAAAAGTCAAAATCATAATAAAGACCATGTTTACTGGTCTGATAGAGCCTGGTGAGATTCCCAAGACTATGGCCCCTAGTCACCCTTCAGATCTAGAACTGAATTCACTCACTCCTGTGGCTTCCAGCCAAACAACAAACAGGCATATACAGTGAACATTTACATCTGGTAGATACATTCCTTAGAATGATGAATCATGGGAGAACAGAAGGGCAGTATTTGCAGAGGGAGATAGCTCAGGGGGCAGGAATGCATAGGAAAGAAGGACACAGGGAAGAGGTAACTACATATAGGGAGGAAGTAGAAAGAAGCTGTTATACTGTGAAGAATTGTAGTCAATGTCATGAAACAAAATGTATATGAACTGCTGTATAGAAAATGAATTTGTTCTGTAAACTTTCACCCAAATCACAATATAAATAAATACATTGCTAAGATAGTAAAAGAAATAGCCAGGCCAAAATTAAAGTGTACTGAAAACCCAAATGAAAAGCATACTCTGACAATGCAGCTGGCAAATGGAAAACCAAAGGCTTGGGTTATAATAGCCCACAGGGTACAGAAGACAAGGTCTTGGCCCCTCCCAACGTGAAAAAGTGGCACTGAGACCCCCACACATGCCAAGGTCCTTGAAGGAATGAATATACATAAAATAAAATGTTGTTGTTGTTGTTATTTGCCATCAAGTCGGCCCTGACTCATAGCGACCCCTCCTTGGGTTTTCGAGGCAGTATCACTACGGAAGTAGGATTGCCCAACCTTCCTTCCGAGGAGTGGCTGGTGGGTTTGAACCGCCAGCCTTCTGATTAGCAGTCAAGTGCCTTAGGCACTATGCTACCAGAGCTCCTATAAAATAAAATGTAGAGCAGGGAAATACAGATATAGATACAGCTACCAAACCTAAAAACCAAAACCAAACTCATTGCCATTGAGTCGATTCTGACTCACAGCAACCTCCACTGGGTTTTCAGGGGAGTAAATCTTTACGAAATAGATTATTCCATCTTCCTTCCATGGAGCAGCTGGTGGGTAGTGGCTGGTGGGTTTGAACTGCCAACCTTCTGGTTAACAGTCAAATGCCTTAGGCACTACACCACCAGAGACTCCTTTGCTACCAAACTTAGGAGACAAAAATTAAATTTGCTAATTTTGGTCTCACTCAAACTCATTGTTGTTGAGCTGTTTCCAACTCATACCAACCCTTCATTAGGTTTCCAAGGCGACATCTCTACAGAAGTAGATTACCCAATCTTCCTTCCAAGAAGTGGCTAGTGGGTTTGAACCACCAACCTTTTGGTTAGCAGTCAAATGCCTTAGGCACACAGTAAGTCAACATCCTTTCCTGGCTTTTAGGCAGGTCAACAGCCTAAGTATGAGTCACTCAACATCCACTATATATTCTATGAAATAGGATGTTATAAGATTTGGATATTGTGCAAATACCATACCATATACAGGCAGCCCCCGTACAATCAGTAGTTCAATCCCCATAAAGCCTATTACATTGAAACTTTATAGGAGCATGACAGACAAAGCCTAAGAGCTGTATCCATTTGATACAGGAGGCTAGCCTTGGCCGATGCCAGGTTCAGGCTGTGCTAGCGGTGGGATTAGGACTCTGCGCACATCTGGGTGCAATTAGAGCATTTAGGGGGTGCAGGGAGGTGAGTGCAGAGACTGGGTGTGCAGGTGCCAGGAGCAAGGCTGGCAGTGGCAACACTAGATGCTGTTGCCCTGTTGGTATAGTCGCTTCCTGGTCACATGCAGCTGCTCCACTGCTGCCCAGAACCAGGAGCCCACAAGTGTCCCTGGCCTAGCTGGTACCACCAGTGCCCACAGCAAGAGCAGAGGAGCCACAGGAGGTGCTGCCTTGTATCTGGGAGTGAAAGGCTGTATGGCTACTGGGCGGCTGAAAAAAGCCAGCAGAAGAGGAAGGAGGAGGCAGAGAAAGAGGCACTGTAGGGCTTGAGATGTGCCCTGGAGCCCCATTGCTCATTTACTCTGGGGGCCTGGGGTCTTTAAAACCATTAGGGGAAAATATTAAACAAAAGGAGATCTGCTTTCCTGTTAAAAAAAAAAAAAAAAAAACACCTCAGGGGACCACAGATGTATATGTAGTTGGATGGTGCCCAAATGGGTGTTTAATGACGCACACCTGTATATCTAACATCTCTGACTTCCGCAAGAAGATCAGAGAACATCATTGGCCGATGCTTCTGCTCCCAATTACTTCAGTGATTCATTACAACTCCACTCCCAGGGTTCTCTTTTAAATCACTCACAAACCAAAAACATATAAATTAGCAAAGAGTTGGGATGTCCTTTGTTAGGGAGAACAAGTAGTTGGCAGCAAAGAAAAAACAAAGCAAGCCAAATAAAATAGATAAAATGAGAATCCACAAATCAGATTATGAAACAATATTCTGCTGACATTCAAATAAAGTAAACCCATGGCAACAATTTAACTGTTACCTGTTTGCCTGCACTCCCAGGTTTCTCTTGTTTGGAGCAGGACAGAACTTTTCATTTTCCTGTGTATTTAGAGCTTTACACTGAAGCAATATTATTTACTACTTACTTGGGCTTGTTTGCATACTTTAAAAGGCTGAAGTGTTTCTTGGTAGAAAAGTTGATGATAAGCCTGTAGATCAAACCAAAAGTACACACTGTTCTTCCACAACTGCAGATGGAAAAATACATAAATTATTACCATCCAATTATTAAAGATCCACAAAGCTCTGATTTCAAAACAGTAATTATTTAGCTTTCTGGTGTTAGCATAAATCAGGTTCAAATGAAGATGGTTTTACTCTTCTATCACAAGCAGACAGTAGTACAAAATATTTATTGGTATTGTCTCTAGAACATTATTTTTTGCATATATGCCTTTCACATAATTGGATTAAAATAGTAAGTATTCTAGTTAACAGTTAAAGAGTAACCACATATTATATGGGGTATCCAACCAAAATCTGAAGGTATTTTGATACAGATGGGCAAATGTGCATCATACTAGAACCAAGCACTGTACTTATAATTGAACCAGTTAAATACTTTTCATCTGAGGAAAATGAAAACTATGCTTGTGATTTAAAAAAACATACTGGACTGAGTGAAATAAGTCAATCACAAAAGGACAAATATTGTATTGGTCTGTTATTGTAAAAGTCAAGGAAAGGTTTATCTATGGAATGAAATTTTCTTTGTTGGTTCTTTGTTTGTTGGGTGGGAGGGGAGGGGAGGGAACACTGTTAGATAGACAGAGATAAGTACTGATTTGGGTGAAGAGAAGGGCAATGTACCAAATGTGAGTAATCAATATGGTAGCACTGAGGAAGAGAAAGACATATAGAGGTACATGGGAGATACAGACAACAAAGATGAACCCTTTTGCACATACAGTACTGCATTGTCAGTGAAGGCAAACATGGGTATACG